TTTTTGGGTTTTAGGGTGTTGGGCCATTAGTGGATCTTATGCCTTTTGGGCCATGGTAGGCTTTAGGTCTCTTGGGCCTTTTTGGAATTTGGGCTATTTTGAGTTTGGACAGTGATATGTTAGGCCCAATAAGGGAAGAGTAAAACAAACTTTTACCCTAGGAGTTGGGATTAAGGATTTGGACTCTCAGTTTGGGTTAATGACCTAATTGCTAATTAGGGTTCTATTATTTGTGATTTACTATGGGGATTTTTCGGTTGAGCAGCCCGAGTTTGATTTGTTTATCTTCACACTTAGGTGAGTTCCTTCATTATAAACATGGGTCGAATACACCAATGTCGGCCCACTAGATTATGTTTGTAGGATGATAGTTGTCTTCGTGACAATTTCCTGTTATGCCTGTATACGCTTGTTGTCTCTGTGACTCTTGCTGATATGATTGTATGCTAGTTGTAGGGGTGAAATAGACCAGATACCGGTTAAAAGAGACCGGAGGGGGTGAAATATACCCAATACCGGTTTAAAGAGACCGAAGGGGTGAAATAGACCCAGTACCGGTTGAAAGACACCGAAGGGGGTGAAATATACCCAGTACCGGTTGAAAGAGACCGAAGGGGGTGAAATAGACCTAATTATGTTTTCACTGTTATGTATATACGCATAGGGTATTTTGAGGAAACTCACTAAGCTGTGTGCTTACAGTTTATGTTATGGTTTCAGGTACTTCCAGCTCAAAAGGGAAGAGCCCAACATGATCGCACCGCATCCGCCCATGTATTTTGATGACTTTTTTTCACTATGATATACTTTTGATTGATTTGATATGAATATTGGATGCTTTGGAATGAATTAAAACTAACAATTTTATCTGAAATTTTTGGTATGTTACACCCAATAAGATAGAAGAGCAGCACGAGGAGAATTTGTTAGAGGTTCTTGAGACTCTGCGTAAGTAAAGGCTTTATGCCAAATTCTCCAAATATAAGTTTTGGTTGTGCAAGGTACAATTCTTGGGTCACCTCGTCAACCAAAATGTTATCTTGGTCAGTTCGGCTAAGATTGAGGCGATGATGCGGTGGGAGGTTCTGAGGTCTCCATTTGAGATTTGGAGTTTCCTTGGGTTATCAGGCAATTATAGGAGATTTATCCAGGATTTCTCCAAGATTGTGGTTCCATTTACTCGGATGACGAAGAAGAATGCTAATTTTAGTGGGGCCTGATTAGCAAGCAACATTTGAGGTTCTGAGGTAGAATTTATGTGAGACACCAGTATTGACCCTTCCTGGGGGTATTGAAGATTTTGTAGTTTACTATGATGCGTCAATTTTGGGTTTTGGGTGTTGTACGTATGCAGAGGAGTGATGTGACCGCATACGCTTTGAGGCTGTTGAAGCCTTGAGAGACGAACTATCCTACTCACGATTTAGAGTTAGGGAAATGGTTTTTTCCCTTAAGATTTGGAGTCATTACTTGTACATGGTTCAATGCACCATTTATACATATCATAAGAGTTTGGGATATTTGATGAATCGGCCGAGCCTTAACATGACACAACCTTGGTGGTTAAATGTGTTGAAGGATTATCACTTTGAGATTCTTCATCGGTCAGGAAAGACCAATGTGGTGGTTGACACGTTAATTCAGAAGGTAACTGGTGCACCTACTTAGGATTTGTGCTTGGATTTAACAATTGTTTATCCACTTTTGGATCTTATCAAGGGGGCTCAAACTGATACGGTCAAGGATGAAAATCAGAAGAGCAAGAGGATCGTGAGTTAGATCTCTGCTTTTGACATCGATAATTAAGGATTGTTGGCTTTTCATGGTAAGGTTTGGGTTCTATATTCAAGTGGTGCTCGACATTTATTGATAGAGGAGGCGCACAAGTCCAAGTTTTGTTTCATCCTGGTACGACTAAGATTTATCGATAGTTGTGTCACAGCTACTGGTGACCATGTATGAAGAATTATATAGCCTAGTATATGGAGCGGTGCTTGACTTGTCGGAAAGTCAAGACTGAATATCAATGACCTCATGGAAAGTTGTAGCCGTTGGATATCCTGTTATGGAAATGGGAGCAGATCACTATGTATTTCATCACGAAGCCACCAAAGACTGTTAGAGGATTTGATGCTATTTAGGTCATTGTAGATCGTATGACCAAGAGTGCCAACTTTATTGCTATCCAGGAGAGCTTTTCGCCCGATAAATTGGTTGATATTTATATTTGGTAGGTGGTTGCTCGTCACTGTGTGCCGATTTCGATGGTTTCAGACTGAGATGTTTGTTTTACTTCGAGGTTCTGGAAGAGGTTCCATGACGATTTAGGTACCCAGTTACATTTCAGCACTACTTATCATCCGCAGACATACGGTCAGAGCGAGCAGACTATTTAAATCTTAGAGGATATGTTAAGGGCTTATGTTCTTGATTTTGGTGGGATTTGGGATTCCTATCTTTCGTTAATAGAGTTCTCTTACAAAACAATTACCACACCAATATTGATATGCCTCCTTTCGAGCTACTTTATGGAAGGAAGTATCGGAATCCGATTTGCTGGGTAAGGTCAGCCAGAGAGTTATAGGGAGTAGTAAGATTCTGCTCGAGACCACATAGCTGATCCAACAAGTATGTGGGGGGCTTCAGACCACGCGGGGTCGATAGAAGAGTTATGCAGATCAGCTTCGGTCTGATCTCGAGTTTCATGTTGAAGATTTTGTGCTTTTAAAGGTGTCACCCTAGGAAGGTGTTATCTGATTCCGAAAGCGGGGTAAGTTAGGCCCCAGGTTTATTGGCCTATTACGAGTGATTTCCAAGGTGCGTAGGGTTGCCTACTTGTTGGATCATCCTGAGGAGCTTATCCAGATCCACGAAACTTTTCATGTTTCTCAGCTGTGAAAGTGTTTAGTAAACGATTCAGCAGCAGTACCTTTGGACGATATTCACGTGGACGAGCGTCTGAATTATATGGAGATACCAATTGCGATCTTAGATAGGAAGACAAAGAACTTGTTTAAAAAAGTTAGTGAGTTTAGTGAAGGTGCAGTGGCAGGACCGGAAGGGTTCTGAATGGACCTAGGAACCCGAGGAGGAGATGCGAGCACTAACCAGAGCTTTTTGTCGCAACAGATTTCGAGGGAGAAATCTGATTAAAGTGAGGGAGAGTTGTAACATCCATATTCCCGATACGTAATTTATTCCGGTTTTATTTTGCTTTTTTACTGAAATATGAAAATCATGAATTAATCAAAAAGGACATGGGGTGCCTTTTAATAGGTGCGACGCGCCCCAGCCCATGGACTGAACGTCTTTTTAGGGTTTTAAGGGATATTTAAGCATCAATAACCCCTAGGGTTAGCTCATTCTCAGCCTCCATCACCTCATAGAGAGAACTTCAGAAACCCTAGCCTTCTCTCCCTTGTCTTAAGCCTTAGAATCCTTTTGAGAGCTTATTTCTCCAATTTGTGGTTGAAACTTCAAGTTCAAGAGTTTATTTTGATGCATAGAAGGAAGGCTTAAGTGTAGGTCTATCAAGGTTGCATCTTTTAGAGACATTTGTAAGTATAAAGCTTCAAACTTTCTCTGTAGTTCATTAGATCTTGCTTCATGTCTTATTATGTGCTTTTTTGGTCCCTTTTGTTGGTGATTTTGGAGTTAAGAGACCTCCATCATCATGTGAGCACTTTCGGATGCTCCTTGGACCACATGAACCAAGAATGTTGGGACATTTTGCCTTTCCTTTAAGTCATGCAAGTTCTGTTGGTTATTAGATCATTATGGTGTATAAAAGTTTAGATCTTGCATGTTTGGGATGTCTAAATTGATAAAGTTGGAAACTTTATCCTTTAATACATTGTTAGGGATCAGATTTGGAAGTTTGAGCTTTGACTTAATGGAATAAGTCAAAAATCCCTTAACAAGTAGGTATGTATGTAGTATGTCTTTTACACGCGCGACATGTTTTTTGAAGTTTTCTAAAACGCGCCTGTTTTAGCCTTGGATCCCGACTATTTCGTCTTTTAGTGGGTGTGGGGCGTCCTTTATAGGGTGTGGGGATCTTGTTTGACTAAATGTAGACATTTTGACTTTTTGAGTAAGTTTAACATTGGGTCAAACTTTAGGGTTTTTGGTTGTAGATTGAGGTTTGACCTTTTATTTACTATTTAGGTGGTTTACCATTTATGAGACCGGCCTTTATATTTCCTGCGAGTTGTGGTGATTATCTGTTTTATCTATGAGGTGAATAACACTATCTTTTTTTTTTAGTTTTACTCTAATATTCGATTAGAACATCAAACTCATACTATGATTATCTTTTGATGGAATAGTATTTGAATGATTTTAATATATTTAAAAATGAAACTTTTACTATATGTTTTGGTACCTTACATTTATAATGCAAGCTACTAACTACTATCACTAATTGCTAGACATGGTCCATTAATTGCTAGAAATAAGGAAATGTGGACTATCACTAAGACTAAACGGTGTGGTACTCTTTTGTCCTCAACAATCCGATTTGGCATGTGTTTTCGACGGCAAACACCACCCCTTGAGTTTTTTGTTCGACAATCTTGAGCATCACATATGTGCAGACGAGAAATTAAATGACAAGTTAATAACCAACAAAGAATAGAGATGTCAACACATTTAATTGATATTTTCATGTAACATCCTTCTTTTTATTGGTAGTTAAGAGTGGCATCACACTCTACTCATAGCTAATTATGGGCAAGAGTGACATACTACACTCTACTCATAGCCAAATATTGGCAAGAATGACAAATACTTATATGACGCCATGTAACTTCAAATTTTAATAGGCAAAAACATGATCGGGCTAAATGCATACGTCATGGACAAAAAGTAAATATGAGTACTACTCCACTATAGTCTACACGAATGTGTTTTTATCAACGAACTTGTTCTTCTCGACAGCTTGAACCGCACTCCGGAAATCATCCGATTTCTCGTTTTCCCGAGAGGGACGGCCTTTATCGTCAATTCACCAACCGATCTCGATCGTTCTTCTTCAAGAAACAACACAAAAGTATTGCGACGAATAAAAAGGATCCGATAGCAATGGCTAGGATGGCACCGGTCGTGAGTTTTTTTGGGTGTAAGGCCGTGGATGCGGGGCATTGATTCAACGGGGGCCCACATAAGAGCTCATTCCCGGAAAATGAAGAATTCTCGAAAGTTTGGAGGGAAATCGGGATTGGACCGCTGAGTAGGTTATGGCTCACGTTTAGCTCACGGAGTCGGGTGAGGATGAAGTCGGGAACGGGTCCCGAAAAATAGTTGAATTGGAGGTAGAGGAAGGTGAGTTGGGGGAGATCTTTTAGTGTTTCCGGGATGTTTCCTGTGAGGGAATTGAAGGAAAGATCTAACACTCTAATTTTGTGAGAAACAATACTAGGGATGTTGCCAGAAAAGTTATTGTTTTGAAGGTAGAGATTCTGGAGGGAGGGATTGGAGATGATATCAGAAGGGAGAGACCCGTTAAGGAAATTGAATCTCAGGCTCAAGATTCTGAGGGAATCCAACTTTCCGATGGTATTGGGCGGAATTGGACCGTATAGTCCACTAGTAGGGAGATTAATGGCAGTAACTTTAGTTCCCTCCTCGTCACAAGTGATGCCATCCCAATCTTTGCATATTGGGATTGTTTTTTTCCAGTTTAGCGGTTTTGCCTGTGGGACCAATGAAGCGAATTGAAGAAGAGACTCGGTGTCATCGTTGATGTCAGCGGTTGTTTTATGCAGTAGGAAGATAATGGTGGCAACCCCTAGAAATTGGAGGTTCTTCATTGTGGATGTGTATATATATTTATATATATATATATATATATATATATATATATATATATATATGTCAACCTGCATAAATATGAAAGGAATTTGGAAATAAGAGTAAATATTAGCAAATGAGATTATGCAAAAAGAAGTCTTACTTGTATCATTAATGACATTTGTAACAAGTGGATACTGAATTCTATGTAAACTAGAAGAATAAAGCAATAAAATTCAGATGAAGAGGGAAGAAATGGTTGGTCGTTACCTTGCAAGAAATATGGAGGATGGAAGTGACTATGCCATTGATTTTTTAACTTTTTCTATATGGGAAAAAGCAGAGGACAATTATTTTAGCTTTAGCTTTTCCATTAGAAAGTGGAAGCTTTCAATTTCAAGAATAAACAATTTCAAAGACATAAAGAATCATTTCCGTAGAAACATATAAAAAGAACGTCACAGTAGAACCTTTTTCTTATTCTTATATACAGCTAATAATAATTGATAGCTCCTAAAGTTTGCCACTGTGTTACTTAAGCCATCCACAGTCCATTGAAGGAGTTCAATGGATTGCCACATCGGCATTTCCATTTTCTAAAACTATATAAGTACCATTTTCAGCAACTGTACGCTGATGTATAGCTGAAAGTCATGTAATCTTTCTGTTAACAAGCACACACAGATGCCACGTCTGAATTCTGAATTCTAATAACAAGTTCACTATGGAAGAACCACCTAACAATTTATGCACGTGGTCAATAATGTCAAGAGAGTACCATTTGGTGTTTGTTGCCTTTGAATAAAGTTAGGGATCCCCACAAAACAAAATAATCTGATACGCTCCCACCATCACATGGATCGTGCACTCATGCATAGGATACGACGAGAACACATTTATTAGGCTGGAGGGTGGGGTGTCATCGAAACCGCACTCCCTTCACTGCCACATGTGCACCACATCATTTTTTACCACATAAGTGTGGTTTCTTGCTACACCCAAGGAATCGTGCCATACTTTTTGTTTTTTCTTTTTTTTGTTTTTTTTAATAATTTAATCAAATAAAACTTCATTTAAAAAAAAAACATTACATTGCATTACTTGGGTTTATTTTATTACTTTTTTTAATGGATAAATTTTTTTTTCTAAAAAAAATATAATATTTCATTAATTAAAAATAAAAATGTCATACATTGCTTAACTTAAAAAAAAACCTAAAAATTTAGAAAAGCAAATTAGAAACATAAAACCTACAACTTAAAAAAAAAAAAAAAAAAAAAAAAAAAAAAAAACACACACCACACGATTAAAAACTTGAAAAAAAAACTAGAAGTTAGCCACGATTTGCGTAACGTTTTTCCACTTCCTCTTTCATCACCAAAATAACTTGAAGCTCGTCCCCAGTCATATTCGACGTGTCCATCGATAGTACTCTCATGTCGATGTCCCTTTGTTTCCGAAGCTCTCTTTCAGAAGCAATTTGCAAAATCATGTCCATTCTATCTTTTATACCCTTCATGTCGGCCCTCATTTCTTTCAACTCGCCTGAATTCGACGTTTTGCCTTTGCCTTTGCTTTTTGCTTTGTCTCTTCCCATTGGTCGGGAAGGTGGTAAAACTGGAACAGGTTCATCTTCGTTCAGATCAAAATGAACACGAGCATCTGATGTAGTGTGGTCGGACTCAGATGTTCTGTTGCGTTTTGAACCACTGTCGATATGCTCGTCTGATGTTTTGATGTTTTGCCATTTCTTGTTATCTTTCACAAAATTCCAAACTTCAAGAAACTTGAAAGCCTTCAAGTTTTCTTTTTGATACACTTTCAGTGCTTTCCTCAAAATCACATCATCGCTTTCTCAACTTTTCCATTGACGTTTCATGTTGGTATACAAATCATTAAACAACATGATTTCCTTGTTCATCTTCCCACATTTCGAGTACACTTGATGTTTTGAACGGTATTCTTCACGGTTCATTCCTTTATGGAACCTATGTAAAACGCGAATCCAAAAGCGGTCATGCTTTTGGTCTTTTCTAGTCAACGCATCTTCTGAAATATCGATCCAAGATTGTGCAAACACTAACACTTCTAGGGGTTTCCAACCTTTAGCCTCTGCATTCTCTTTTCTTTTAGTTGCTGCTTGAGTGGGCTGAGTTTCTTTAACGAATTCCGGTTCGGAATCAGAAACGACCGTTTGTGGTTGTGCTTATGTTTGTTGAACAAACTCAGGTTGAGACAAAAAATCAAATGGATTAAAATCTGTGTCAGGTTGTGGTAGTGCTTGTGTTTGTGGTAGTGGTTGTGTTGGTCGTTGTGTAAAATACGGAAGCATACCGTCATATTGATAATATAGTGGTGAAAAAATCGGTTGATCAAATGAAGGTATTGGGGTTGCGGTGTTTCTAGAGGGTGTTTTTTCTTTGGTGGATCTTTTGGAAGAAGACATTTTGAAAAAAAATTTGAGGAAAAGATAGTAAAAAGATAAGAAATTATTGTGAAGATTTTGTAAGAAATGGTAAGTATATATAGGGTAAATTTAAAAAAAAAAATAATTATGCGCAGAGGACCGTTCAACGGTCAAAAGGTGAACCATCCAATCACAAGACACGGCAGAACTCGCCACACTGCGGCCAAAACCGCAGGATACCGCACCCAGGGGGGTTGTGCGCGGTTGCGCGGTCCAGGTGGCAAAACCGCGGTTGCAAACAGTGCCCACTTCGATCAGTCTTAGGATCCACCAATTTGTTATTAATTACTTAAACAAATTGGAAGTCTTTCATATGGTTTAATTTGTTGATACATACATAACCTATGAAAATTCAATTTAATTATTGTTTACATAGTAACGGTAGAAATAAATATTTTGTCTAAGTGTTGGAAAATTATCACTAATTAGTGTGTGTATAAGGTAGTAAGAAGATGATTGTTCATCGGTACATAAAATTTTACCATTTAAAACAAAAAAGGGAAGTTTACAAAGACAATCTTTAAATCTCTCTTATTACCTCTATTCATAACACCATTTCAAAAGAGGAACCAAATTGTTTAAGAAAAACAAACCGTTACATATTGTCTTAAAATGAACCTGGTGTTTTAGTTGTAATTCGTGTGACCTGATTAAGTAAATCTTATATTGTAAATCTTCAGATATAGATACAGGTAAGAAACAACAGTATTGATCATGTATTTGACTTCTTTGTTCTCTGGAGTTTGACTTATTCATACGAACAGCAGGACAGCCTGGTAGCCATGAACATAAGCCTTCCGCAAATACATTTCAAGTACTGTGGACTAATTTGGGTTATGTACTTGTGGACATCTAGTTTGGGCTCTTCTGTTCAAGTCCCAAATTAGTTACATGCCTTTACATTTTGAGCCATAAAGTAAATCTTAAATGTTATTAAATACTTTATCTTACATGTTATTAAATAACACAGGTTCCCTAAATATAGCATTGCACATTCATTTTTACAATGATATATTCAGGTGGGTTTTGAAATAAAAATGAGTGTGCAACTGTATATTTAGGTTTTGAAAAAAAAATTAAATGCAATGCAATTTTTGGATTGGTTTGGCTTACATTGCATCAAAAATCTATTTTGTTATGTCAAAATAGGTAAACTTTGAAGCATCAAGTTCTCCATCAGGAGTAACCTACAACGAAATATACAAAAGGATAATTTGGGGAACAAAATTATAAATTAGATAAAGATATAAAGAATGTATAATGAATAGAAATGTAAGTGTGCGTTATTACAACAACATGAGATGCGTTCCAACCCATGACCCGGATAAAATAGTAGAGCCTTACAGCAAAAAGTTTATATATTTTTTGTCTTAAAGGCTTTCATTCCAATCACTGGTTAGTGCTAGGTATTAAAGTGTGGTGTTAAATGAATATACTTTTTTGAAAGTAATATATAGAATCAAAATGTACCAATATCTTAGAAATTGTTTTATTATTTGATTAAATTTCTTATGGATAAAAAAAATTCTGAAAGCACAACTACCCTTTATGTAACAAACAAACAAATTTCCAAAACATAAAAAAATCTCCAAGTCAATGGACATGGAAGAAAAGAGAAACATATTTAAGTATATTAATTCTCATGGACATTTTATCAATCACCTACAGTGCAATGCCAAAAACTCATAAGCATTTAAATGAAAGCATATCAATTCTTAAAACATGATAACCAAAAAAAATAGGGATAATGACTTAAAAGGGTAATGTATTTTTTGATTTGTACACATTTAGTCACTGACTTTTATTTTCGTCCACATTTACACATTCAACTTGTTAAACTGTACACATTTAGTCCTTATGACCGGCTACTCCAGGTTAACCACTAAAAATGACTTAATAGGGTAATATATTTCTCACTTTGTACACATTTAGTCCTTAATATTTTTGTACACGTTTAGTCCTTAATATATTTTTTTTGTTACAAAATAAGTCATTTTTGTTTTTGTACTCATTTAGTACTTATGGATGTTTTCTTTAGGTTTTTCTCACGACATCTTACGTGGGATAGCCATATGGTGGTGGGATAGGTTGAGATGGTCCTGCTATATGTTGTAGGCCAAGATACCTGGTGCGGGCCGGCTGTAAGGTGTAGCCACAGAGGCTCGAGAAGAGCGGTTGGGTTAAGGCGACATGCCGAAAAACCCTGGGTATTCCAGTCTGATGATTAATTGGACCTGTTGCATGTTGGAATTCCAGTCTAATAACTGATTGGGACAAGGTATTCCAATCCGATGAGTGTGAGCTCGTTATGCATGATAATATGTTTGTTGTATCGAGTATTTTGGATAAAATTCAATAAACTTTGTGCTTACCCAATCATTTATGTTCTCAGGTTCTATCGTTGATCGTGGAAAGGCGAAAGCATGATTGTACACACTCATCAACAGTATTGAGGATTCCGTGTTTCTTATATTACTCTGATTTTTGATAAATGTATTTTGGAATAAACATTTTTTCTTAATAATGGATTTATAATTAGGGACTTTTACCTTA